TTGTGTCAGTTTATGGCAGCTTCCGATAATTCAGAGAACTTGTCCAAACACTCCTTCAAGGCCTTCAAAGAGACCACTGTATTTTTCAACACGACGAAAAGATCATTTGCCAGGTCTTTGACTTTGTACCCAGAGAACCCACATGACATTCCTTTGATTTGGGGATTAGCCCGAATGTTGTTCAACACAACTTCGAACTGAACTGCAAATAGCAGGGGGGTCAGGGGGCACCCCTGTCTCAATGATCGGGTCAGTGCAAATTTCTGCAACAGGGTGCCGTTGATGATTACTGATGCGGTAGAGAGTGTGTACAATGCTTTAACCCACAAAATTAAGTTATCTCCGAACTCCAACCATTTTAATGTTGAAAGGATATACGACCAGTTTACCCGGTCGTACGCCTTTTCCAAATCAAGGAGGAGGATCGCCATATTGCAGTTCTCATTTTGGACAATCTCAAGAGTTTCGATTGCTGTTACTGTGTTATCGAAGATGGACCGTCCTCGAATGAAGGTTGCTTGGTCCGGGACCACGAGGTCAGGAATATTTTTCCCCAGCCTGTGTGCCAAGATCTTGGCTAGCAGTTTATATGACACGTTCAGGACCGAGATGGGGCGCAAGTTTCTTATTTCGACACGCTCTTTTTTTAAAAAAGACTGAGATTATGCCCCTTCTCATGTTAGCTGACAGGGATCCCCCTGTTAAGATCTGGTTGTATATATCAACCAAGTCATTTCCCACGTGGTCCCACATACCGAAAAAAACTTCTGTTGGTAGGCCACTGCAGCCCGACGCTTTTCCTTTTGCCATTGATTCTAGTGTTGCTCGTGCTTCGGTTATTGTGATTGGTCGATCGAGATTTAGTCTCCCTGTTGAGGTTAGACGAACAGTGGTGGCGTCGCAGTGGTTGTTGTCCTTGTAGAGATCTAGAAAAGCATTGGCGCCTTGGTTCCGTGAAGTGAGAATGTCCTTGTAGTACAAAGAAGCATAGTTGCACAAATCAGATAGTTCCTTGGCTTTAGGAGCATCGAACTCAAATGGATGCAAAAGTTCTTTCATAGGGGGGGATGACCGAGATGAAAGCAGTCTTTGAAATGACTCTTTCGTCATCCGATCGTACACAGATATCCCTTTAATCCGTAGACGGTCAGCCCATCGCTCAAAATTCTTTTGTTGGAGTTCATCCCACTCAGTTATCAGTTGCGCTCTCTTCTTGCCCCAAACTGCTACAGAAATCGGATGTTCCTGCATTCGGTCTTCTGCATATTTAATCTGCTTGATCAAATTTTGCTCTGATCTCTTTCTGTCATTCGACATTATCCTCGAGAAGACATTTAGCAGGTTAGAGAACAAATTTGTTCCCACATCCCACCATTCTCCAATAGAGGGGTAACGTTGTTTGACTTTTTGTCAATCGGACAAAAACTGTTCCATCCAAGCAACAAGGCCTGGATCTTCTAGGTTATATGTATTGAACCTAAAAAGACCCTTGCCTCTTGCTGGCTCCTGAGTTTATATGCTCAAGCATACAGGTTTATGATCAAACATGGGGTGAAACTTTTTCCCAATATGATCTACTACCTCCCAAGCTGTAGTCGAAATTAGGAACTAGTCTAACCGCATGCGAATCACTCCCACATCCCTTATGCAGTGAGAGAACCAGGTGTATCCGACTTTATCAAGATAGGTAAGACGATATGGATCGATGAGGCAACATTCATCAATCAAGTTAGTCAGCGCCAGTTTATCTATTGCAGTTTGTACTGCTGGATTGGACAAGGAAATGTCCAGGGATGAATTATAGTCTCCAACTAAAATAAGAGTACCTGCATTCGGCAGAATGTACAGCAACTCCCGGAAAAAAATAGCTCGTTCATACTGATCAACAGACGCATAGATAGAAACGATCACCAACGATTTCTCCCCTATAAAGATCTTGATCCAGGACCAACGACCCCAAAGGTCCATATTATAATTTACTATTTCCATATCCAGACCTCTGTGTATGAGGATTGCCACTCCTCCTTTGGACCCTACTGCTGGGGACCAAAGTTGGGGGCCGTCCCACCATGTGCCTAGTGCATTTATTTTTTCTTCACTTAGCTTAGTTTTTTTTAGGCACGTTATCTGGATTTTGTTATCATGGATCCAAGCTTTGAAGCGATCGCATTTGAATTTCCTTGCGCTATCCCCCAAGCCTCGAACATTCCAGGTGGCAAGCCTATTGCTCATTCCTGGGGTTGTTGCCCCTTAATTGGACTGAGGCATCCGATCGCGATGGTGAACCATTCAACGTTTGATGATTACCTGACACCAACCAAGGTCCTGTAAGGGATTTCCTCATGAATTGAGACATCAACTTTTTTTCCCGAACTAGTTTCCCGTCCAGTTCCGACAGGAATTCGACCGAAAGGCCCGGGTCAATTCTCAACCGACGAAGTTCTTGTCTTTTCGGCTCGACGAGCCAAGAGAAGGGAACCAAACGAAGGGCTTCCGCTTTGAGCAATTCTAGCTGGCTTGGTACGAAGTGGACATCCGCTAGGGGAGTAAAAAATTCAATTTCTTGTCTCCCCCTACCAGATGATCCATTAGAAATCTTGGTATAAGGAAATCGGGAATCAGCCAAAAGACGAATTTATCCCTAATCACCGAACAGATAGAGTTTGCAAGCACCGAAGGCATGAGAAGGTCAGAAGATAGAATTGAGATTAATCTTGTGGTTCCATCAGGTGCTATCCATGCAAGAATCCAGAAGGAATTTCTTACAGCAACGCATAGTATAGGAAGAAGTCTTTCCTCCAGACTCTTCAATTGCCCTCGGCCCAATGCGACCGGGCTCTTCTTCTGGTTGTTTTACTGCCTGGGGTGCCGACCTCTCTTATCTTGCCTTAAGAGTTCGTTGATGATGCTACCGGTACTTCGGATCGTTCACGTCCCGCACTCAAAGGGGTAGAGGGGTTCCCATCATCAAAGCTCAGGCGACGTTGCTTATCTCTCGTATCACTTCGTGTTCGAGTGTCTTTGTGCTCTCCATCTCCAGGGGGAGGAGTGCTCCTCCCCTGAACCTGCAATTCACCTTGTTGACCGCTACCCACTCCAACCGTCGTTGATCTGGTTACTCCTTGGTTTGTTCCTTGGTTTCCTTGGTTAACTCTTGGGGACGGTCCCTCTGGTATTCCAGGTTGACCCATCCCTCCTGTTGCTGCTTGTGCGATTCCCGCTCCTGGATATACCGGAGGGGGTGGAAGTCCTCCTCCCCCGGGAGCGCCACTTTGCATTCCTCCGCCTGGATGGAGCCATGGTACGAACACCGAGACTCCGTTCTGGCCATATAGATCGTATTAAGGTTGCATCGGAATGTTACCGTAGCTCTGGCCATAGGGTCATGCCTGAAATGTCGGATTGACATACGGAGGGATGACCCACGGTTGCAGCGCCGGTGATTGGTGTCCAACTCTTGAGACACTAGGGGAGGTTTGAACTCTCGGCCCTAGTGAGCCTGAGTATGCCGGACCCATTGGTTGGCCTTGATTGCCTCCTTGTTGTGTTGTTGCACTCGAATTCGGTTGTTGTTGTGTCCCTGCTCTTCGACACTCTGCCTCTATGTGGAAAAAGGCCTTGCATCTGCGGCACCTAGGAGTTGACGTTGACGCCAGTCTTACTTCGAGGGAGTCTCCTTCCCACGTCTCGACCCAGATCTTGTCTTTCATATTATCCCGTGCTTCCGGAGCGATATCGAACTTGAGGTTAATTAACTTTGGTTTGCAGCGATCTGGCTCCGAAGGATGCGTGAAAAGAACGAGTCCTATAACCCTCCTGGTGTGTGCCTCCAGATAGAACATTGCGTCTAAAGGGATTGGAACAACGATGACCCAGAAGACAGACTCATCGTCCACCCTTCTCTGCTCTCGAAGCTGGGCTTTAGTAAGCCACGACTTCAACTCCAGAACGTAGCGGGTGGAGCCTAGTGTAATGTTATCTGTGCCTCTCTCGACCAACCATAATGCTAGAGCACTATTTTTGGCGACATACGACACAACGTTTGGGCTCTCTATCTTAATCCGACCACGTTTGACGGTGGAAGGGTCAAAACTACCATCCTGGACCCGTTCATCTTCATACGCACGAATTATATCGTCTTTCACCTTTTTGGGGAGAAAGCGAGCGGCCTCCCAAAAAATCATTGTTACCGTGTGTTCCTTGAGCCAAGCTATCTTCGTTCGGTCAATTATAGGGTTGACTTTGAAAAAAACCTCCCGTCCCTCTACTCTCATTTCCCCTGGATCAACCCCAGAGGGAAGGACGCCATCTTCATAACATAGCCTAGCCAACTCTCTAATTCGATCATCTTCTCCATCCGTTTGACCTTCCGGCCCCACCGGGGGGGAGCGGTTGGTCTCCATCACAACTTCAGGTGGCCGTCCAATCGTCGTAACGATGGTGATGGTGTCCTCACCTACGGATCCACTATCATGGTGGTAGCGGCTTCCTCCAACCTAGCCTCCCGTTACCGGTAGCAACCGCGCGGTCCATGCGCTACGTAGCGCCAGCGGGCGTTTCCCCCCCCCGTTGTGTACTACCGGTAGCAACCGCGCGGTCCATGCGCTACGTAGCGCTACTATCGGCAATGACCGGGCTACCGGTAGCCTGAGCCACGGGCCTTGACAACCGGTAGGTACTGGTGGTTTAACCTGCTGGTTTTGTTTCCCACGCCTTGTGGTAGCCAACGCAAGGTTAACCCCGGTGTTATTATATAGTGAAAGCGGAAATGGAGATGATTGATTCTCAGCCGCAAAGATGACGGAAACGCGAGATTACTTCCCTGGAATAGTGTATGCTCAAGCCCGAATGACAGTTGAAGCTTCCTTTCGTTGAGGAAGGTTGGCGACAAGAAACTCGTCGAGTTTTATCCCCTGCAAGGCGTATCTTGCGGAGGTCTCGTTTTTCGACCCGAACGATGGAATTACGGGGTCTCGCCGCCTGAGCGCAGTGGGGTACAGCGCAAGTTGGCATACGCCGTGTCGGGTTTGTGGCCGTTGTGCTTGTCCTGGGTTGTAGCTTCTGCGTGGTTCGGCTCACGGTTCGGCGCGGCCGAGCAGGCTTCAGCTCGGGTGCCGGGGTCAGCTCTCGGTTCCATGGAGTGAGGGAAGGGTCGCCTTGAATCGTTTTTCCTCCACATCGAGTGGATTCTCGGGTAGGACGCTTCCGGCAGTGTAGGAATTCGCCCGCTACTTCCTTACTTGCTGAAGGTGTCCTCTATGGGCCCCGTAGTTCCTGGCGATAGGACATGCGTGAGAGACGGAGAGGTAGGCGCGGGAGGAGGATGAGCGGGAGCGAAGATAGGGAGGCGCTGGAGGAGTGTGGAGAGGAGGAAAGATAGGGCGATGCCGGAAGAGGATGAGCAGGAGGGAGGATAGGTAGGGAGGGGATGGGCATGGTTGGCTTTTTGATTCAGGTGGTGGTTGCTTGATTACCTCCGATTGCCTCTGCCTCCGCCTTCGGGCCCGGGTGCCTAAGCTCCGCCGAATGAATCCAGGCAGCCCTACTTCAGGTGCGTGTTTTCTCTCCCATGGATTAGGGTTTAGATCCCTGGAAGGCTGACTTCTTCTCCTCCTCGTCTTTATGATTCTCAGGGTCTCCTAACGGTCTCTTCGTGTATGCACGGTCTCCTTCTGCTCATTGTCTAGACTGCTACCCTTCCTGCTGCTTGTTGCTAACCTCGGGCCTACCTCTCTGGCGGACCCCCGGTGAACTGCTGCCAAACTTTTGCGCACCTTCTGCTAGTTTTTTCCAGCGGCGCCTGTTACACATTGATCTGTCGTCTGTCGTTTAACTGGAAGTGACTGTTACACACGTCGACGGTTTTCCGATTCCGAGTTTGCTCTGCCTGCTGTCATCCCGAGTTTCTGGTGACATCTTTTGTGGCCTGTCTCGAAGAGTCTCTCGTTGACCTCTATGTAATGCGTATTGTTCTCCGATTGCTCAATTTATGAATGTCTTTCTCGTCTTGATGACCGTTTTCCTGCTCGCTTTTCACCATATTCGTTCTGTGTGCTTTGTTACATGGCTACTTACTCTCTGTCTATTGTTGCATGGGCAGTAACCTAGTTGGCTGGGCTGTGTTCTGTGCACCTGTTTTTTTCTCGTTTGTTCTTTTTGTAGCAAAACGAGGCCCTCTTGTGTTATGAACTAGCGGTTACTCCGGCTTGTTTTTCCTAAGTTATGCTGTTGCCCATCTCGTTGTTCAATATATAGACAAACAATCAGGTGTTGGTTGTCTGTCTTGCCTCCCATGCCCTCCCCTCGCGCCTCTCATTCGTCCCTCTGCTCCAAATGGCGGCGAGAAGACTCCCCCGTACCCATCCACACCCATCCACACGCAGCCACACTCATCCATACCCAGCCATGCCAAGCCACATCCGCCCACAGACTCACCTGAACACACACGCACGCTCATATACACGCATGTAGGCGGACACACGTACGGATAGAGAATTCACCCCTAGTCGAGCAAGGCAGCGTTGTCTCTTTGTGTTGGATACCTTTGCGGAAGCAAAATGCGTTGTTATCCAGACTCGCAGATCGAGAAGAGTTTTAATCCTTGCTTCCGGGATACAGTGCAACCTACGATAGGGTCGCAATGGCGTATTGTGGGATGTATCCGATGTGCCATGAGACGTTCATGGCGTTTCTCGAATCCCTTAAGGCCATAACTATGGCGGGGGGGAACAATCGAGTAGACGAGGCTATGGGCGGGTACGGGTGAAGGGATCCTTCACTGAAGTGCTTGGGCGACAAAAAGGACACAAGTACGGAAGGGCGGGGAGGGTAAAAGGGCTGTTTGTCCTCAACCGAATTTTTTGTCGTTCCTGTCCTTGCCGTCTCATCAGCGTTGAGTATTGCTTGTGGTCGGTAAAGAGGTGGCTTACTGCCTCTGAGGGGTACCTGAACCTGTGTACCCTTGTCGTCGTAATGCTGTTTCGTTGCTTACTAGACTCTGCTGTGATCGTTTTCATTCTGGTATTGCCGGGAAAAACTGACTGCTATGATCGTTTTCATTCTTTGAAAAGCGGATTTGCAGCAGTACTTGTATGTCTATGTTTAGTTAATCTTTGACCTAAAAAGAAGAGGGTAACGATAGTTATATCGATAAGAACGTATTCTTCTTCATGGAGACTACGGGCAAAAGAGCGAGCAACAAGTCGAAAAAATACCAACTGGCCTAGCTTAGTTTGTACACCCCTGAACTGTTGAAATACACTCCACTGAAGTCAAATGACTAAAATATTACAATCTGGAATTACCGAGGGCCGGTCAGTTCGATACCGACCGTATCTCAAGGCTGTCGCCCTTTTTAAGAAGTCGAAAATGGTGCATTATGTTCCGTTAATCTTTGACGTGAAAAGAAGAGGATCGATACCGATGAGTACGTGCTCTTCTTCATAGCGATTTCCGCTAAACGAGCGAGCCACAAGTCAAAAGTTGCAGCGATGAATGAACTACGGTAACATAACCTGTGTGCTAGGAGACGATCGACTAAGGTAATTCAAGCTGAGAAAGAGTCGTAGTAAGAGACAGGGTAAGTGGATGAACAGTATTCACTCTTGTTGTTCGGCCTATTAAACCTGAACTGTAGTTGTGGCCTTCGGCGAGATGGCGATCTTGAAAAGTTGTGGCCTTCGGCGAGATGACGTGGTATGAGTGGCGAGCGGCGTTGCATGGAGGGGGAGAAGGGGAGGTGGGGGGGGGGCGGAGAAGGCAAGCCAGGTTTCGCCTGGGGGTAATGAAGGTCCGCCGAATCTGCGACAACTCCTTTTGCCTGCTTGCTTTCTTGCGTGCGTGCTTGCTTCTATTGACGATAAGAATGATCCATGGTGACATTGAGTCCATTAACGGTAACGATGAATGGTGACAACGGATAAGTAAAAACGGGCGACGAGGCTTATGTATGTTTCATTACCTGAGGAAAGCAGCAACGTGATGCAGGGCGCAACGAACTACGCAGGCTATAATCAGCTGGTAAGTGGGCGAAAAATGAGGTATTGGTACTGGCGCTGTGATTGGTCGACTGTAGTTGCAGTGAGCGGGTCTGCTGTGGAAGTGGAAGTGTTGAGCGGGCAGTGTGCATGTAAGGAAGGAACAGACTAGAGACCGCTGGGAATTGAGCGCATAGGTTTATTATTAAAATTTCTGTTGCTTTTTGCGATTAAACGGTCTATATAAATATGATTTATATGGTGTGAGACTACTAACATTCGTAATTGCTAGCGAACTCAAAGATTGAGCGACTGACTTCTGTGTGCATAATGTCATAGTGCGAGTGAGCAAGTAACGTGGAGGAGGGGGTTAGGGGAAGAAGGGAGGGGGGAAAGAGGAAAAACTGAGGGCAACAAGAAATACAGTGAGCGAGGGGGGAGAGGAAAGATGGGTATGTTTGTAGTGTGAGGGGAGGAGGAAATTGAGCTTATGGAGTGGCGCTTGCGATGTTTTGGCAGGGTAAAAGCAATGCCGCCGCCGGCCTTTCCCGCCCGACCGGTAAGATGGTGAGTAATGAAGCCGGGCGGCCCAAACCTGATCCTTGCTAGCTTTGAAGCAGAGAGGAGGGCAGGGCGGGGCTTGCTCTGGTTCTGGATATGACTATGGCTATGGCTGACTGGCACCCGGATTAATGTCTTCACTCTGTAAAGAGAGAGACAACACAAGGGAAGGTAAGAGGGCTTGTAACTCCGGAAAGAGAGGCATAAGGTAAGAGTATCTCCTGCTTACGTTTAGCCCCTTCTTGATCGGCTTCTCGTCTTCCTGATCCTGTCATTATGCTTTAGTCGTTCCTCACGTTCTGTCGTGATCGAACTCGCTTTCCTTCTGTTTGCGCCCCTGATATCGGGGTTTTTTTCCGTCTCTCCCGTGTCTCTTTTCAGTCCGTCAGGTATGAACTATCGATCGATCGGCTCGTCTAGCAGGCCAATCGAATCCTAGGAAACAGCAGGCGGAGGGGGCTTTCGGGGCGGTGAGAGCAAAGGAAGAGAGAGAGAGAGAGAGAGAGAGAGAGAGAGAGAGAGGTCTGAGCGCTCACACAGAGAGAGAGGGCTTAAAGAGAAACGCAGACACACACAGACACAGAGAGAGAGAGAGAGAGAGAGAGAGAGAGAGAGAGAGAGAGAGAGAGAGAGAGAGAGAGGAGGTTTTAGCTTCAATGGTGGACCCTAAGATAGAAGACGATGACGATGATGACTTCTTCGCCACAGTGTATGGAAAGGAGTATGAAGGCCCGCCTAAGCCTGTCCCACGTCCGGCAGCCCCCGCGGCAACGAAACGGGCCGGCCCGTCGTCTGACGATGACTCGGATGACGAAGGGCCGCGTGATCCTAATGCTCTGCCGACTGATTTCACAAGCAGGGAGGCGAGGGGATGGGAGGCGAAGGCCAAAGCCAGCGAAAAGCACTGGAAGAGGAGGAAGGAGGAAGAGTTGAACTGCAAGATCTGTGGAGTGTCAGGCCACTTCGCTCAGGTAGGACCCCCTGCTTCTCCAACTCTTCTCTCTCTCTCTCTCTTCGCTCTCCTCTGTTTTTCTCCTACCTACACCAGTCCTTCCCCCTCTCTCTCCCTCCGTGCCCCTCGCTTCACGTCGTCCAGCTCCCCCGCGCTTACTCCTGTTTGCCCGTTGCTCAGTTTTGATTTTGCCAATGGAGGAAGTATCATTGATTTTGCCAATGGAGGAAGTATTTATCAGCTAGGACTTCACAGCTTGACGGTTGGTCATTTCCTGTGTTCAGCTGCTTCAGGATGTCAACAACCTGTCCCACTGTCTCTCCCCTTCGCTTATCCGGCGCTCATCGATCGCCTCGTTCAGCTCTGAGTTCCTTTCTCCCTTCCCCACCCTCCCCCCTTACCAGTTTCTTCTTCCTGACGACCAGGGCCTCTTTGTTGTCTACCGGTTTCATACAAATTGCTGTAGTTGAATTGCTAGTTTTGAACGATGAATGATATGGAATGTAGCTATGTTAAATTGCTTCACCCTTGTCTTCTCTTCATCCCTTTCTCTTCTCCTCGTACGGACGTCCTTCTTTTTGTTGTCTTGTCCTTTTCAGGTTTGTTTTGCAGCGGAAACCCATTCATACATTTGCCGATATCTCGTTCTTTACGACCAGCCCTTTTTCCTGGGCTTTTGCCTGTATTTACCCCAAGCAGGTTTTTACCCCAAGCAGGTATTTACCCCAAGCCTTTGCTGTGCGCGGACGTCGCAGTCGTTTATTTCCGGCATTTTCAAGTAGGTATTTCACGATCAGTCTTTCCGAGTCGTGCAGGGTAATGCAGATCTCTTAGCGAAGCCTCCGCGCATGGAACACGTCATGCTTTTACAGGCCAGGAGGTATGTTCTCCTCCGCGTCTAGAGCGCGATTAGCGCCTGTGTGTTTTGGGAGGGGCATCGCCTCTTGTGCGTTTTGGGACGGGCATTAGTTCGTGATATAGACTGCAGATTGTCGTAGGTTTGCTTCGAAAGGGTTCTGTTTAGCGGATACGCGCAGGTGTGTTAGACAATGGACGAATCGCTGCCGCGTGCACATTGAGCTGGTTGTTGCAGGCGGCGGAAATGGCAGAAGGGTGTCGCAGGATGCCCAATGAAAGGCGTGGAAGGGAGAGGCGGGACTGGTCACCACACGACGTGAGACTGCGGGTCAGAAACATTGAAAGACATTTCATTTGTTCAGAGATTGATTAGTCGATCGATATCGCGATGTCGTGACTCGTGTGAATAGCAGGCCTGCACAAAACTTGTGTGTGTGGATGGTAAAACTTGCTAAGGCGAGCCGAAATGGCTGACGATGATCCTGCGCGGGAGAGTTTGAATGTGGATGATCCTGCAAAGAGCGGCCTCGCTGGACTGAGATATACTTCAATTCACATGTAAACAACGTGTGGAAGAAGGCGACGTTGGCATATTGGATTTCGATAGGAAGTAGACAGCGACAGGAGAATGCACAGCTAGGGTCATCGGAAAATGAAGAGATTGTCGGGAGTGAGCAGAGGAAATGCGTGGGGTAGGAAAAGTGAGGAGATCGGAGGAAACGGAGAGAGACGGGCGAGGGCGGTGATGGATAAATGGGTAGAGATAGATAGATATATCGTCACATAAGTATCAGAGCGAAATATGTATATATACATCTATCTATTTAGAGAGAGAGAGAGAGAGAGAGAGAGAGAGAGAGAGAGGTTTATGCGTCTGTCTCTGCGGCAGTCTATCCATACACCTGCTGAAGTCGACCTTTTGTGATATACTCGTTACTCATCTCAAAGCACTCTCCCGTACTCATTACTCAATTTGCCTAATTCTTCATCTCGGAGCTCTCTCCCTCTCTCTCTCTATCTGGTTCATTCTTATTCTCTTTCTCTCCCTCTCGATCGAGAGAGAGAATAATAATGAACCAAAGAGAGAGAGAGAGGGGGGGGGGAGGAAGGGAGCTTTGAGATGAATAATGAGGCAGATCGAGAGATAGAGAAGGAGAAAGCGCTTAGAGGACTATGAGGCAGCTCACAAGAGGTCGACTTGAGCAGGGATATGGATGGATAGTTACGAGAGGAGAGAGAGAGAGAGAGAGAGAGAGAGAGAGAGAGAGAGAGCCCTGAGGTGATTGATGACGCAGATGACAGGAGGTCGACTTAAGCAGGTGGATGGATAGTTACAGGAGGGAATGAGGCAGATGGCCAGAGGTCGAATTAAGCAGGTGATGGATATAGGGTGGCACATGCTTGTTCTGTGGAGTCGTGTACAGCGAACATGACAACACACCTACATAGGGCCGACCTTGTACGTAAGAGGTGATGAACAGGCGGAGCTTTCCTTCTTTCCTTTTTTGTTTTGTCGTTTTTCGCCTTTGCGCTCCGATACACGGTGTGACGATATATAGGGTTGCATGTGGGACTTGTCATCTAGGATCCGTTTTTTTGTGCTGTGCGTGTTGCCCCCTGTTTTGTTGTATTTGGCTGTTTCCTTCCTCTCTTCTTTGCCTCTTTGCCCTTTGGTTGTGTGCAAGTGGGTCGATATGACACACGGGGGTGGGGGCAGCCGCCGCTCAACCTACATACACGTGGGCGGCCTTGTACGCAAGAGGTCCTGAACATTGGGAGTTGTAAGGAAGAAGATTAAAAAAATGAATTTAATCTTTTCTTCGTTTTTTCGCTTTTGCGCACTGATGACTTTGTGACGATATATAGGGTTCAGCCTCCTGATGAGTCGGTGAAACTCCGACGAAACTGTTTGTCACAGCCCCTCGTTTGTTGCCCTCTACTTCCTCTCTGCCTACGGTTTACCGGGTAGCGATATATATAAATAGATATGTTCATCCTCCTGATGAGTCAGTGAAACTCGACGAAACAGTTTGTCACAGCCCCTCGTTTGTTGTTCTCTTCTCCCTCTGTCTACGTTCTACTGGGCAGATCTGTTTGACGAGAGAGAGAGAGAGAGAGAGAGAGAGAGAGGCCTCTGAGATGGAAATGAGAATCTTGATTTAAGGGAATTTATTCGGCCGATGGGACCACACTAGTGTGAGAGGAGAATTCACCGCCTGTCGTGCTTTGAGCGGTTTTGCGTGTAAGGTGGCTTTCCGTTTCCGGTCAGGACACGGACGTCATGAAACAGGTATGGCAATGCGTAGAAGAGTCTGTTTAGCTGTCCCTGTTAAACAGATTCCTACAGGCTGTGCCCTCTTTCTTAGCTCCTGCTGTGGTGACCAATCCGCTCAAATTGCTGCAGTAGGCAGAATGGGCGCTGGGGGAGAGAGAGAGAGAGAGAGAGCAGAGCAGAGCATGCATGTGTTAAGGGAATATGGTCCAATGGCAGTTCCTGTCTTAAGGGCGTTGATGATGTGAAATGATTTGGCGCACACCTTTTGCTGAAATCTGTTTCGATTTGGGAACTGCGGAGCAGTGTATATGTGATCGGCAGATTTGGGAACTGTATCAGGTGGCTCGTTTGCTGAAATCTGTTTCGATAGAAATGAGCAACGGGTGATTGCGCCCATGCAGAGATGTTGAATTATCCCTAGTGCATGCATCTCTATGATTGCCCTGGTCTGCGTAGGGTGCTAATTACTCTGGCCGCAAGTATATAGCCGGACGTGACATATTCCGATTCAATTTGACACCAGTAGGACAAGACTTCGATTTGGACTGATTGCCGTGGCCGCATTTTGAATGTAGGATATGTATTCATTTATATTTGTACAGCGAATTGGCTTGTCTCGTGCAGTTTTTGTATCTGTATCTGACCGAGAACTCTTCCTGATTAGCGGATATGTATTCAAAATATTCGTACAGCTAATTAGACGCTGCAATAACGTTTGTGGCCTTGCACGTACTCCAGATATCGGGCTTCGACTCGTGCCGTTTTTGGAGCTGCATCTGACCAGAAACTCTTCCTAATTAGCGGCTGACCTAAATACGCGGCTTGTGGCCTGATTCATACTGACACAAATACGCTGCTTGTGACCTTAGCCATACTTGGAAGGGTCGCCTTGAATCGTTTTCCCTCCACACAATTGTAGCCCAGATTGTAGCCCAAACTCAATTGATGGTCGTTTGTTCTTGTACGACTCTGGAGCAAGACTGGCTCAAAGGATTCGGAGGCTTCTGGATGTGATTACTGTACAGAAGGTTACTTCAGTACTACAATAGAATGGCACAGCCGCCACTGTGTACTCTGCGGCTGCAATAGAATAGCACAGCCGCCACTGTGTACTCTGCGGCTGCAACAGGGATGAAAAATCCAACCGATAGCAGGTGGGTAGGCTAGTATATTATTATTCGATATCAATACGTCGTTGTGCACCGGTACAAGCAGCCGAGTTCATCATACCCAGGTTTGAGAGTGCTCTCTGAGTCCTGTGGGTTAACTGCAAGGTCATCATAGGTATCATGATTTTTAAACCATCACCGTACGAGGGCCCTCTGTCAGTACCACAGCTGAAATGGGGCAGAAGAACCGAACTGATGAAACGGGTGGTCTGGTGTATTCATCAGCACTACACACTTGTGCACCAGTTTCATCAGTTTGATCAACACGACATACTGGTGCACCAGTTTAATCAGTTTGATCAGTTTCACTGCTGGTGCGCACCAGTTCGAGGCAGTAGTTAGTCTAAGGTGCCATTCTGGTGCGCACTGGTGGGGGTCTCAAGATTCTTGACATTCAGTGCACTCAAATGCTCAAATGGGACCTTTGGGCCCATCACACCAGGTCTGGTGTATTCATCAACGCTACATACTTGTGCACCAGGACGAGGGCCCTCTGTCGGTCCCACAGTTCGAGGCAGTAGTTAGTTATTGTTATTCTGTCTGATGTTGAAGAGTCCTCTCCAACTCCTCTAGCTTCAAGGTTTATCATAGACATAGTATTGTTATTGTTGTCATATTATATTCAATCATGTCTTCCGCAGTGAGCCATGTGCAGGTCTCTGCATGTGAACTTGTGGTGAGTGTGGCATGCCACCAAGCAAGCCGTCGCTGTCATTCAGCAGTCGCCCCGCAATTCTGCTCATGTCAATTCCAAGCCGTCTGTGGTTGGTCGAGAAGTGAAACGAAGGGCAAAAGATGCAATGAGCTAATTTTGGAGCAAGTCCATTGCCTGTGGGAAGGTTTTCGGAAGACGGCCCCAAATGGATAGATGTGATGTGATGACTGTTTTGGATAACAGGGTCGGTGATGTAAAGGAAGTTGGCTTTTACCGAGGACAAAAGAAGGAAATAGAAATGAATTTGGAAGAAGCCGTCAAGCTGATGGTGACGTGGAGTGCTGTAGGTGAAGTGTTTGCAAATCTCTTTTTTGTGGTTTTGAAGATCGTGCCAAGCCCCGAGTGGTGATGGACATGGGAGGCTTTGTAATCGCTCTCTGAACGAGTTATGTGAGTGATTCTGAAGTCTCTGACCGAGTTATGTGAGTCCTTTTGTGTTTCTGACTGAGTAATAGATGGTCGTGGGTGGTTGTGTAGCCTCTGCTTGAGTTATGGTGTGACTCATCTGTCAATTGACCGTCGATGGGGTACTACCTGATGGGAAGGTGTACTGGAAGTAGCTGATTATAGACGGATGTGATTTGCAGGGATGCCCCCTTACTATAGGAGGGAAGCGTACAGGGGAGGTGGTTGACAAGATCCGCATCAAAGACAAGAAATTGAAACCCAGGATCATCGGAACAGGTGGTACAGTAATTCAAGGACTCGAAGAAGAGAGTGGCTGTAGACTCAAGTTGGAGGAGCTTGCCAGCGATGGATCCTTCAATGTGCGGATCACTGGACCAAATAGGATTGTTGTTCTGAAAGGTAAAGAAGTGATAAAGAACTTTGTGAAAAAGGTCATGGAAGAGGGGGGTGGAAAGAGAAGGTTGGATAGTGTCATTGGTGATGACAATGATCGTCGTGCATCCAATGATGCTCATGGTTCCGGGAGGGAGGGAAGGGAGGGGAGGGAAGGGAGGGAAGGGAGGGAGGGGAGGGAAGGGAGGGAGGGGAGGGAGGGGAGGGAAGGGAGGGATGGAAGGGATGGTGATCTGCGCAGTGCCGATGTCGATGGAGAAGGCTTGGATGAACCATGGAGATCATGGGGTGGTTCCTCAGGGGGAAATTCTAATCCCGAGTCTCGAGGGCGCGACTCCCTCCTAGGTCCTGGTGGTCCTCGTGACTCCCTGCTAGGATCAGGTCCACGTGGTGAGGTGGGATCGGTGCTGCGAGCAGAACTGGGTGGCGGTCCACGTGGTGAACCAGGATCTGCAGGTCGGGGCGATTCCCTGCTTGGACCATATGGTAACTATGGCGACAGAGGCTACTCGTTTGACAAGGGTTCTCCAGGTCGTGGAGCAGGTAAGAGCTGTCTGCGCTGCCTCCAACCTATTTGCGTTTTCGACTCCTGAAAGATGCGTGACCGGAATCGAGGGACCTGGGAAGTTTGAGAAACTATATTTCCTTCACAACGAAGTTTGAGAAACTATATTTCCTTCACAACTATATATCCTTCACTGTTTTGTAGTAATCAAGCTCTGCAGTTCCTCATGGGCCTGAAAAGTTGAAAAACTCTATACATTCTTCACTCTTTTTTGGAGTAATCAAGATCTGAGGGTTTTCGTGTTCCGATCTGAAAAGTGCCCCCTTCGTTTACTTTTCCTTTTCTGCATGTTTGTGTTCAGGTTTGTGTCTTACCACCATCGCATCTTTCTTTGTATGTGATGCATTGTGTCGCGGGGCTTCGTAAAATCTGGAGGGAAAAAATTATTGCGACGCTACTTTACTTTCGAGGACTGGAACTCGCGCGTTTTTTTCCTTTTGGTTTCCTTGTCTTCTCTGGCCGGATGTCTTTGGTTGCACTCTGATATTTGTGCAGCGGCTGATTTTAATTCTCTGTTTCTTGCTGGCCAACCGGAGCTTCTGTAGACGGTAGCTATAATTATTAGCCCCAATATAAGGTGCCGCCCCTCTTCCAGTCATAAACAACACCAATAAGAGCATAGTTGCACTGGCGTTACTTGTAGGGATATACAGGCTGAGGGGGAGAGAGAATGGTTGCCTCAAAGCTTTCAGAGCGGCGCGATGGGTTGGTTGTGTTCGTGAAATTGGTGCTTCCCGTTCTTGGGCGGCATGTATTCATTCAAGGTAGCTAGGCGACAATGGAGGAAAAAAAATATGCCGTCATCGACGTCACAAAATGTATACAAGCTATCTTTCAGACCTGACACAGTCATGAGGACGATGGGTGGAGCTCCCCCAGAAAAACACAGGTCCATGAAAGATAGCTGACATACATCCCTTGCTTACAGCAGTTTTTCACCACAGGAAGAGCAGTTGTCCTGAATGGAAGCACCGGCGGTCGTCACCAAAGCCCTTTCAGGAACCTCGAAGGACATACTCACACTACCGTCTTCGCCCAGATAGAATGCCTGGTCATTAGCGCTGCAGCTGGACCAAAAATGCCCCCAAATATGGCTATAACGGCTGGGCGTTATGTTCGGGCGAAGATGATAATACTTTCCTAAAGGTATCTGACTGCAATTACGGTCTGACCTAGATGAATCTGACCGCACTGCGTCCAGCGCTTAGTATGAAGAGTCCTAGTGTAAGTATCCCGAAGCGTCGACATTCGGGAGCAATCTCCTTATGATAGCAAAAAAGCCAAAGAATCCAGTCTGTCAGAACTATCCGTTGGATGCCAGGCAATTGCAATGTAACAATGAGTGTATCGGATGCGAAACGTACTTTTTGTACATTTTGGATTACCCTGCACGATATCAACAGACTATGCATTCATGAAGACACATAGGGACACGCAAACGTTTCAGACAACGGGCATAGATCCTCTTCTGACCTCGACTCGGTACTTCTATGAGGGGTCGGGCAAGGCTTGCCACCACGTTCCCAACTCTGATAATTTTTAGAGAGCCCGTATTTTGTGGGGATGTGCCGCACCTCGTGTGCACACATGGGTGTTTGGATTACCCTGCACGATATCAACCGACTACGCATTCATGAAGACACATAGGGACACACAAACGTTTCGGACAACGGGCATAGATCCTCTTCTGACCTCGACTCGGTACTTCTATGAGGGGTCGGGCAAGGCTTGCCACCAGGTTCCCAACACTGAAAGTTTTTTGAGAGCCCGTATTTTGTGGGGATGTGCCGCACCTCGTCTGCACACATGGGTGTTTGGATTACCCTGCACGATATCAACTGACTACGCATTCATGAAGACACATAGGGACACGCAAACATTTCGGACAACGGGCATAGATCCTAGTTTGTCCCGTGGAGCGCCAGTTCCTTTCAGGTTGAGCTTGGGTGCGAGCTTCAAGTTTTGGAGGTTCTCTTCAGTTGGGTGCCAGTCCTTGGCCACACAACAGAAGGCCAAGCGGTATATATAGCTGTGCAAGTCTCATTTGTGGCATGAAGAGTTAGAGGTTGAGGTCTTCATGCTGCGGGGCAGCACTGCCTCTCTCTCGAGCAGGTAGAGTAGCGGAGTAGCAAGTTGAGGGTGGAGGCCAGGCTATGGGCCACGTACCTGCAGACTTACCTGGTGGGATAGCTCCTGCTTATCTTCAGGCGTCTTCCACCTGCATCACAGCTCCAAAGAGACATCTTTAGGCTGGTCAGTATCCAGGTTCCACCTTTGTGAGACTACGAGAGGATTCTTCTTCTTCGTCGTCTCCCTCCCTCCAGCTCCACGACTTCTCTTCCTCCTCTCTCCCTCTGATTCTTCTTCTTCTCTTCTATGTGCGAGAGAGATTTCGAGAGTTGAGACTTGGTGACATTGGACTCAGACCGATATTTGGACAGAGGCATTGGGGGACTATTTTTGGAGGCGACATTTGAATTGACATCTGCATATCTCCTCTCGCTTGTCTCTTCTCCTTCCTCCTCGTCTGTGGATGCTGTTCTGGCTTGGCGCTCTTCTTCTATGTATTCAGCGTCATGCCCTCTCACCCTACTGACGATGCTGAGTGAGTTGCAGTCCGTCTGAGTCATTGAGTCAGATCTGTATATTCCAGTCTTCCGCTGCATTGTATTTTGCTTTTTCTCCTTGGTCGGTTCTTGGGTGTTCTGCGCCATGTCCATCTGATTGTCTTCAGGCATGCGACTGGTATTGAGTACCCCATACTGTTTGTCAGGTTCCTATCACGTTTAGGCGTTTGGATGCAGGGCTGGTGTAAGAGCTTGTTGCATCGGTCTGTGTGAGTCCTTGGTTCTCAGGGTGGGCTGAATGTTGCCTGACTGGTATGATGTACTATTAACCTCGTCTGTGCGAGTCTTTGGTTCTCAGGGTGAGCTGAATGTTGCCTGACTGGTATGAAGTACTATTAACCTCGTACTGTTTACCAGGTTCCTATGCCGGGGCCTATGGTGGGCTCGAGGGAGAAGGAAGCTGGCGCAAACCTGAACGACCCCCACAGACACTTGAGGAGCTTGAACAGTTGTTTCTGCAAGAGACGATAGACCTTACAAAGACTCAGAACATTGAGGAGGAGACGGAAATTGCTCGTCACAGGGAGGTACGTCTTGCTTTCCGCTCGCTGGGTGTGGACGCCTCTTGGACCATCAATTGTGCTCCTGAAATGTATGAATCGCTTGTCTTTCCCCACAGTATAAAAACTGCTAGTGTAAGAAATCTTCCATCCGTGGTCCGTCTGGGCCACGGCCTGGATTGTCACAAGAATATGAGTATTGGATGGGGCAATGATGCACTTTCTTAAGATCTTCGGATGGGGCAATGATCCGGGCTGTTTACCCATTACCACTGGGCCGACAGCCCAGGTTGTAAATCGGCGGCCAAAAAATAATTTGGGAGTGCTGGGCCCGAGGAAAAACCTGTTCCGGGTGGTGCCTGATCTTCTTCTGCCTTTGTGTCTTTCCTTTTTGTCCCTGGACATGGCACCATGCTACCGGCTCAGATTGTTTGCGGCGAGGCAGGACTAAAGTCCGCCGAAACCATCTCACAGAGTCGTGCGTTTTTCCTACAGACGTGAGCAGTGTATACCAAACATGACAACATGCACGTGCACACACGTGTGCACCCACCCAATCACACACACACACACACACACACACACACACACACACACACACACACACACACACACACACACACACACACAGAGAGTTGAAGTGGGGTATTGGACCTGAAGGAAGATGGGGATTGTGTTATGAGGAAATATGATAGTATATTGCGATGGTAAGTCCCTGGGTTGTGAGGAAATATCGACTTGTGCTGCCTAAAATAATGAAGTGATTGCTAGAAAATCTATGGGTGTCCTGTGGCTGGCCAAAATTGGCCATGTGGTCTTTGGGACGCCCAGAATCAGGTCAGGTTCGTGCATCGCTCGTGTGGGAGGCCGATGCATGCCAAAGCACCTGTCTTCACTGCTGGGACATGATCCGTGCATGATACATTACGTGTGAGGCTGTTTTTTGACTCTTCGTGGTCGAGTTGCAAGCCGCAAGGAAGATTGGGAACCAAGAAAATGTGTGAGCTGTCGAGGTGTGGAATCTTACTGGTCTTGACGGTGTGGAGTGCTCTCTCTGTATCTGAGGATGACTGCTTGTAATGAGATCTACTGTTTTCCTTTTCTTTACCACGCGGATTGTAAATCCTTTTAAAAGCCCCGTGTTTTGCCAGGATGATGCAAGAGGTACTTGTTGTATGCATTATGAGCGCAGAAAGGGTGACAGCATTGGCATGCATTGTTCTTTTCTTCAATGCAATTGAATTTTGCCGTCTCTCCTTGTCGGCGTGTGAGGTAGCAGTGGTCTATGTGATTGTTGCCAATGCCATCATGGAGAAGATGCTTTTTGTTTTTGTTTTTTGGGAATCGAGAAAATTCTTGTCTACATGACGGTTGGTCAAGGCTGTATGTTTGTTTCCTACTGCTTTGGATTTGAATGGAGAGCAAGTGGAACTTGCAGGTGACTACGTATTCTTTTTTTTTTTTTTTTTTTTCCTTTTTAAGGACTGAGTATTGTCAGGTAGCTGTGAGCACTGTAGAGGCTTGTCTTTGCTTAGGTGGAAGCAAGTGATTCTAAGGTACTCGCTCCCTGGGTCCAGCAGACTAGCTCGGTTGGTAGAGTACGGAAGCTGCTTCGGGAGGCTGTGCGTTCGATTCCTCACGGCTTCCATTTCGGACCCGGAAATCCCACCACCCCCTGAGGCACGCTGTGCGTTCACCAGCTGAGATAGTCAGCTTGTCTCTCTTAGTTGGTTGGCGGGGACTGCCAATATCCTTTCCACCCGTTGCTGGGAGTTAGGGTCAACCCATAACCCTTAGTGTAGCTGGCTTGTGGTCCATACATAGAGAGTGTAGTGTCTCGGGCTAGGTAGGTAGGTAGGTAGGTAGGTAGTGGGAGGCTTATTGAGAGAAGAATGTTGATTGGTTAAAAAAACAAAGAAAAAAAAATGTACTCACTCCCTGGTTGGTTATCATGCAATGCAGAGAATGAGGGAAATACAGCTGGATCACCAAAGGCGGATGACCCTGTTGCGTCAGAGGCACGCAAGCCAGAGGGAGGAGTTTCTAACTATGCAGAGTCAGCGAAGGCTTCAGGCACAGATACAGCAGCAGGAGGAGGAGCAGCAGATTTATGCGTACAGTCACAACCGAAGGATGCAGATGGCTGCAGGAGAAAGGATGCAGATGGCTGCAGAAGAAAGGATGCAGATGGCTGCAGAAGAAAGGATGCAGATGGCTGCAGGAGGTGGACTTGGAGCGGGCATATATCAGGATGGGTATGGGTTTGCAAGAGAGAGGTCAGGGTTCTCACCATCGCGTTTGGAAATGGAGAAGGGGAGGTACTCCCAGTTTGCGCACGACCAGCCGCATTATGGTCTTAATGGTGTTGGGGATGGTCTTTCATCGTATCACTTGGCTGGAAGAGGGGATCATCCCCTTTTGCCCGGTGGTGGATATTCTCAAATGGATGGCCCGCGTGATGACCCTTACGGACCTGTTGCGGGCTACGGTTATGGTGGTGGTGGTGGATCAATGTACTCGTCCTATGTTTGAAGAATTCTGGTTTCTGCCACCTCAGGTACCCCTGTCTCCTTCATCACAGAGTTTTGTTGTACTCCATTTTGATTTCATTTTACCTCCAGTTTGTCTGGGGCCTGTGTCTGTTCGGAGTCATACCTGTGGATTCTGTAACCATTTCAAATGCAGAGTTATCTGTTGATGGAAGTATGTGTCCAATAGCCTTTAGATTAGAGACTGGCATGGTTGATCTGCAGCTGATCCTGGTCCCCTGTCGGTTATGTCCTTTGTGTCAAGGCCAAGGCCCGCATTCCTGCCCTTGCTGTGGTGAGTGTTTCAGATGAGTGTGGCTGCTGCTTTTTTATCTCGTCGCTTCGTCCTCTCTTGCAGAGAATCCACACGTTGCACCCGTGCAAGTTATATGACCATTGATGCCATGTGTTGGACTCTGGAGCATAAGGGATGCCGGTGCCGCCCGGAAGAAAATGTGTTCTAGTGGAAAAGAATAGTGCGTCCTGTGTGTTGGACCTCTTAAAATTTGCTTTTGAATCTGCGTGCCTCCAATTGGGGGTGGAGAAAGCGAAGTCATAATTTACATCTCTCTGTGTGTGTTGTATCGGAGCTTGGCAGCAGATGTCTTCTGTGTATTTTGCAATGAGGACGTGGTCGCCGCTGGTATGTTCCACTTCTGTGTATTTTGCAATCGGTTGTCAAGATGGAAATTCTTTCTCACACTGAAACAGCCATTTTCTTTTCTTCAGTCTTTTTGCAGAATCCCTGTCCTCAACGTCTTTGACATCTGTACGTTCTGACAGTCAACCGGTCTGAGCTTGACGTGGTCGCACTGAGTTGTGCTGCTGTTGTGTGCGCGGTAAGGGAAGCTCTCTTCATGAGAGTGTAATGTGATTGGGGCATGTGGTGATGGTAGAGCACATTAGTGGCAGTAAGTATTCCATGCTATTCTCTCAGTGCATTGCTCTGTTGTCCAACTCTGTTGATCGATTCCAAAAACAATAGGGCCTTCTTGTTAAGTTGGGGGCTCAGGCGAAGCACGTGACCAGGGCCCTAGAAAAGGAACATACTGAAGGGGCTGACTTCTTTCAGGGTCTGTGTCGATTGCGGCGTGTGGATCGTGGTTCCGTAGAGATTACTCCGGTGCCTGTGAAGACATTCATGCTCGGTGTAGGAAGCGGCCAACCATTGTGTTGCGGTCTCGGGAGCGGGGTTTTCTGTTAGTTGAAGTGCGGTGGAGAAACCTTGCAACCTCTTTAGATTACGTCCGGCACACGCTTCGCACTCGTACACAGGTCCCTTCGCTCGAGCGGGGGTTTCCGTTAGTTGGCAACCAGATTATGAGGGGTCCTTTGGACTGGGATTAGCAGTTCGTAAAGATTATGAGGGGTCCTTTGGAGGGGTCCTTTGGAGGGGTCATTTCGAGTGGGAGTGACAGCAGAGAGTAAAGATTGTTGTGGAACCAGATTTCATGTGTGATAGCAGAGAGTAAAGATAGTTGGCCTCAAGATTACGAGGGGTCATTTCGAGTGGGAGTGTGTATTGAGGATCCCACTTCATGTTTCATCGATTCTGGTGGTGGGGAAGTTTTACGTGTAGGAACGCAGACTGTACGCTGGATACAGTACTTGTCGTGCACACCAAAGGGGTCCGCGCTGCGAGCACCCGCAAGATAGTTTGTCCCACGACCTTGTTGGAGAGGGTCGTGGGCTGTAGATCTATTGTTTTTTGAAGCTCTGAAGATCGATTTTCTGAAGCCGGTTTATTGCTTTCTCTACAGTTTTGCAATGACACTTGGTTCGAAGACAGAGCCCACTGGTGCTCTGTTCATGCTATCGCAGCAAAGAACCTGGTGACTATCTCGGTCATGCATCAGTCCACCCAGACGCTTATTCCCCGTCAGATGCACACATGCTCTCTCAGGGTAGACTCCAGAAGCTTGAATGATGTTGAATTCTGTTGTGTTTTTTGTTTCTCTGCTGCCAGTTGTGCTCTCTGGTGCATCCCTCTGTTCGAGCCAGTGTCCGGTCTCCTATATTAAGACGCTGCTTGTCGTACCGACATCTACCGACACCATATCATATGCTCGAAAGCCTGCGGGGGTGGTAGTTGGAGAAGGGTTCCTGGGGAAGTGTAACGAGTGTGGAAAAGTGGATCAGTATGATGAGGCTATAGGATCAGTATGACGAGGCCGCATGGGAATCATCACATTACTCAGGCATTTGTGTTGAATCACATGCACCCCTGTTTGAGGTTCATTATGGAAATTCCAGTAGGGTCCTGGCTTTGCTAGAACATGGGTTCTTCTCTTCCAAATGAATCTTGGTGTGGGATTTTGCTTGAGCCGCATAGGTAGCCTAGGTACATTGCAAGGTGGCAGAGGTAGTTAGCTAGCTAGCTGCCATGAGCCAGCAACATGTCTTCCCTTGGTGGGGGTTTTAAGCGCCAGCCTAAATGTTGTACATAGCAGGGCCGAAAAGGAAAAAGATGCTCTACCGTGATGGAAGTGTATGAGGCTGCCATGTGCAGGTTGGATGTCTTAGGGGCACAATAGTTCATTGTGTTGTCGACTCTTTACAGAAGTTAAGCCGGGTCTTGTGTAAGGCCTTGCTCCGGTGTTCGGAAAAATGTAGTGGGGGAGCGCCCTAAAGCCTGGCCCGAGGGCGCTGTTTGAAATCCTCCCTTGGTCGGGTTGGCTGCATGCCGCCGCTCCATACTTCGTGGCAAAGTAGTTCAGTGTGTTGCTGACTCTTTTTCCGTGGCTGATAGCTGGGCGAAGTACTGGTGGTTTAACAGCGGAACTTAGTGCAGCAATAGCGCTACCGGAAGGCTCGTGGCCACTATCTCCGATTACTTTTGGCCCTGTGTGTGTGTGTGTGTGTGTGTGTGTGTGTGTGTGTGTGTGTGTGTGTGGTGAGAGAGAGAGAGGTGCACCGTACCCATACGGTATCACCTTGGGGACAAGTGCCACAGGGATCTCGATTATGAGCGCATGACCTGAGAAGAGAGAGAAGGATAAATAGAGAGAGAGAGAATACATGAGAGAGAAGAGGAGGTAGAGAGGAGGAATGGCAAGGGGAAAGGCGAGGTGGCAGGTACTGGTAGGGACATCTGCATTTTTTTCTGCCAAGGGTCCAATGGCCAAAATGCAGGGGCATATGAACAAGTTTCACAGGTACCAGCAGGGGGATATGCACAAAACCACGATTTCGTCACGATGAACATATTATGTCTTTTGAAGTTTGAACGAATTGAAATCGCATTTTTTGGCCCAAAATTCATAGAATTGAGTGTAGGGTGTTCTGAAAATTCCCTGCCCCATTGATGTATCTGGAGTTAGCCACAGTCCATTTACATCCAGGCTGCATTGAGGGGCAGGTGAGAACAACACACCCCCGATTTCATGAACTTTGGGCCGAAAAACGAGATATCAATTTCATTGAAGAAAATATGGTGTCCATTTAACGAAATCGCCGTCACGAAAATATGGCTGCCTCCTAGTTTACCGTCCCACCTATTGTACGTAGGAGTCTGGGCCGTGTCTCAGTCCCAGTCTGGGAAGCATCATCGGCTTGGTCAGCCTTAATAGCTCCCCCAATAGTTTTACGATCACTGAGGATAATTGACTGCTTCATTTGATCTCGGGCAAGGGTTTCTGCGGTCACGGTGGGGATTTTTGGGGAATGGGTGGGGGGCGTTGGGAAGCCTTACTCTACAGGGGTGCTGCAAGGTGGGAGGTGGCTGCTCTGTCGGGAGTGGGGCGGATTTGCGGTTTGTCCTTGTCTGGGGCCGGGGTGGGAGAGTTGGTCGCCTTCAACCCCGAAGGGGAGGGCGAAGGCACCCTCTACGTGGCAATTGGCTGCCTTAGCGGAGGGGGGAGGGAGGGGATCTGTTCCAGGTTGGGGCCGAGGTGAATCTCCTCGGCGGTGGCAGCGTGGGACAGCGGTGGTGGTGTAGGGGGAATTTTTCTCTGTGCGGTGACTATTGGAAGCTTCTTGGACCAATTATGTTATTTTCAGCTTTTTGGGGTTCTGAGAGCTAGAGCAGCATCGGGTCTTCTTCTTTATTAGGATCTTCGACCTCAGATATGGTTGCACCTGGACTGACATCAATAGGGTTCTGTTTCTCGCCCACGTCCCATGGAAGCGCTTCGGGCCCGTAATTTAACTTTGCCTTGGTGACCTTTTTGTGTCGGTCGCACTTGATGGCTGCTACTATATTATGTTTCACTTTTGCTTTCAGGGCTTCGTCTGAAAAACATTTGTTTTTGAAAAATGCATTGTTTCTTTCTCCCCATAGCACACACCAAAAAAAAGAGCCCTGATAGCAAGCAACATAGTTGCAGTCTTTTGAACCCCCCTCGCGATTGAATTGTGATTACTAATGAAAACCAGTCTTCGTCTCGTGTAAAACTATCGCCACATATCTTGTTCCAATGCTCTCCCACCACATATCTTGTTGCAAGCAACATAGCCCAAGTCTTTTGAGCCCTTATAGCTGGCAACATAGCCCCTGCCTGCCATATTCTCCTCGAGAGCGGGTGGGACAACCAGATGAGAAAGGTGGACGCAGAAGGCCACGTACATCGTCTGCAGGAGATTTGCACTTCTACGCAATCAGACCGCTGAGGGAGTCACCATGATTGAGAGTATACACCACAACAACCAAATGTCAATGGTCGGCTTGAACGAGCATGTACTTTGCTTGCAGGAGATTTGTACTTTGGTGCAGACGGTCTCTGTGATGGGATTCACGTTACGGAGAGTTCCGTACCCCTGCGATGCAACTGGACTGCGGAGGGGGTCGCCATCATGGAGGGCATCCACACTGGTGTTGAAAGTCTCTGTGATGGGATCAGCTGCATGTCCTTGCATGATCAATCAATGAGTTTAGGAGTACTTTCTGCCTCCTTCCCACTCACCTGAGTCCTCCTTTTTGTGGCCGCCACTACTGGCGGGTTTGAAATCTGGAAGCGGATGTTGCCACCAGCACACCGAACAGTCTACACATACCTCCGTGATTGATTGTCCTCACACCCAAAGGAGCAGGACCATGTTCCATCCCTCTCGAAACCTCTCCCCCACTCCTTGATTGATTGTCCTCGCGCCCAAAGGAGTAGGACGATTGTCCTCGCGACCAAAGGAGTAGATAGCCTCAGTGGTTGACTGGGTTGTGCTGCTCTTCTATACTTGTTTGTACGAAATTGGGCCTCAGTGGTTGACTGGGTTGTGCTGCTCTTCTATACTTGTTTGTACGAAATTGGTAAGTTGTTTTCTTCCTATTGTGAAATTTCCTGGTACCATCATGTTCTATATCTACAAGCGTTAGCGAAGTGGCATTGGACAAGTGCGATTTGTACCATGTTTGTACAGTGCGCAGCAGATAATTTCAGTCCTGCGGTAAGCGGGAATAAGAGAAGCTAACCTTTCTTCCACCTCTACAAGTCTGCCAACTTTAGCTTAAACTTCCTCTACCGGAGCGGCGGAGCCCAGCCACCTTAAATTTTATGCCGGGCATAACAACTGTTAGAATTCTCCTATGAATCCAAGACCGGATTGAAGGAGGCTGGAGCACTGTCCGCTACAAAGGAGGTTTCTCTTTTGCGTGTAATCGACGAGCTATCAAAAAGAGGTTGCTCCACTACTTCCAATTTGGTGAGCAGGTGTGACGACAACTGGCTTTTCGTAAACGAGTCCAACGTGTAGCAAAATCAAACGTCGCTCAGCCTATGTAGCTGCCGTTCTCCTCCCTGAATCAGTTTGGTCGTTAGTACCCATTGTTCATTCCCTGCACAAATGAAAATGAAAAAGATGAGAGCATATGGTGGAACCGGTCAACCATTCGAATCTCTTTTTGAATGGGACAGCGGGCGCGTAGTACCTTTATTTACAGCAGCAGCCTAGCAATAGGTGTGCAGCGCAGCGCTGGTCTGGTTGCGTACGCAGTCAGCCGGCGGCGGGAAGGAACCTAAAGAGATGGACCCGAAAGAGTATATGGCATACCCGTTGGCTGTTCGATGAGACTAACAATCGTAACCTTCAGAAATCAGTGTACTCTAGACATTGGGCTTGTGGACACTGCCTTTGCCGCCACCTACTGGGATAACATGGTTTGATTTTGCTTTCAAGGGACGGGAATATAGAGTTTGCCCTCTTTCCTAGAATAGCATATACACTCCCAAGCCACCTCTAAGCCAAATCCACAGTGTGATTTTCCGAACGATGTCCATATGAATTCTGTCGAGACCCTCTTGACTATTTTCATGAACCGATTGCCTAACCGTTCAACTTTCTGTACAAACCGCAACAAAGAGAAGACTTACACGTTAAGAACTAGTGTGCTACCAAGTAGTGACATCTGTGGAGTTGGGCCCTATTTCGGTACTATTTGAACTATTTTTTGTAGGGGAATGTCACCTCGCAAGTTTGCACACCTATACAAGGCAATCAACAGTCCCTGTATCTGTCTGAATTTCCCTCTTATATCCATTTCATACCTATATTTACAACAATTGTAGTAACAAGATGGTAAGAAGTATACCGACTTGTTCTACTCTGCATTGCTTGTAACAAGATGGTAAAAAGTATACCTATATTTGTAATAATTGTAGTATCTTTCTCATATCGAACATAATAGACTCGGACTTGTTCAATTATGAAATCACTACGAAAG